AACAAACATAAATATGTTTATATACAGGGTGTCCCGTTCATGTTTCAAAAAAACTTCTGTGCATGTTCCTCATGGAAAAATAATAGGGGTAGTTCAAATAAAGCCCTGTTTTCGAGATACAGTGTTGAAGTTGATACTTTCCAAATGGTTTTCCTTAATTATTTTTAAATCGGCTAAAGATAAAAATGTCAAAATTTGTAGACGAGTAAACATCAACTGTGCGTTAAGAATAATATGCAAACGGTTTCTTTCTGAAAAGCAATATCGCCGATACAGGTAATTGGAGGGGTACAGTCGAAAAAAAAATATGTTAAAATTCAAAATTTATAACATTTCTAAACGGATCTGTAAACTCTAAAGCATACTACAAAAAAAAGGTATACTTGTCGAAATTCGAAATTTTCGAGAAAGTTGCATAGAAGCAAATAGGGGACAATTTCAGCATCTACTGTAGTATTTCGAGTTTTGCTCATTTAATTAATTGTGCAGCTGTTTTGTTCTGTATGTCTCCGAGTCTGTTTCCTAATATTTTTCTGTTTTTATTACTTTTTTTAAGCATTCATGTCCATGAACAATTCAGTCCATTCAACAACTGTTTATTTTAGTAATGGTAGTGTAGTAGTTTACAAAATCTAAAATTAAGTAGTTATTAATAGATAATTAATTACCATAATCCGTTTATTTTGATTTACTTTTTTAAATGTTAGTTTACAACAAGCTGAAACTTAAAATAAACATTATATATTTTTTTAGTTAATAAAATGTTTTGCAATTTAACTGTTTCACGTCATACGTAAGAAATTAAAATTTTAGTCTTAAATGCAAATACTGTTGGTAGTTAAATGTCTTCAGCTCATTCAATGGGAAAGTCCTTTTTCAATTTAATATTTTGTTAATGTAATTTTGTGCCACTTTATGTGAGCAAAAAATGCAACTTCATTTTTCTCGAAAATGGTACATGCTACCGAATTTCGATAAGTATACCTTTTTTTTGTAGTATGCTTTAGAATTTACAAATCCGTTTAGAAACGTAATAAATTTTGACTTTAAACATATTTTTTTTCGATTGTACCCCTCAAATTACCTGTATCGGCGACACTGCTTTTCAGAAAGAAACCGTTTGCACAATATTCTTAAGGCACAGTTGATATTTACTCGTGTACAAATTTTGACATTTTTATCTTTAGCCGATTTGAAGATAATAAAGGAAAACCATTTGGAAAGTAACAACTTCAGCACACTGTATCTCGAAAACAGGGCGTCTAAGAAAAAAATGTTACATGTACTACCCCTATTATTTTCCCATGAGGAACTTGCACACAAGTTTTTTTGAAACATGAACGGGACACCCTGTACATATAACAAAACAGCCTGTGCGGTAAGTCACGATAACGACAGAATCACTATGCTGCATAAAGTTACCCCAAAAGTCAGCATTTCTACGATATAATTTATAGCTCTTAAAGAAGAACCAACAATATAATCTCAACGGATGGGCTTCTTGTAAAGGTACTTTAGCTATCCTGCCGGACTAGTCGAGTTAGTGGAGCCCTTCCTTAGAGGCAGGCAGCTACGTGCGAAGGTGGACATTGAGGCAGGCGTTCCTCAAGGCGCCGTACTATCACCGCACCTGTTCAACATCTTTACATACGATATGCCTAGCATAGGACAGAGCGCACGAACGCGTGCTTCTACGCCGATGACGCCACCATCGTGATCCGTTTCCTGTATCGTGAGATGGTGAAGAGGTACCTACAGGGGTCGACTGGAGGACTGTTGCAACAGGTGGAAGGTGGCGAATAACACAGAGAGAAGCACAGGTTTCATGTTTTCTCGGTATTGGACGGGTCTTCAGAGTTATGTAAAGCTCAACGGAGAAGACATCGTCAAGCATCGTCAGGGATAACCTTGGATTGCACGCTGAGATGGAAACCCATGTCGATGACATGATAAGCAAAACGACATCCGTAAGAGCTAAGCTTTTCGAGCGCGCCGAGATCCACAGTAACCCGTTAATCCGGAATGCGGTAGACTACCGAGCCGAAGGGCTGCCGGCAGATATAGACGGCCCCTAGACATCAACTTCTGGACGTAGGGTGAGTCGAAATTTTTCTGTCTGTTTCAGGACTGCCAGGATCAAGAACCGAAGACGACGACATACACACACACACATCTCCCCTACTTTTCTTATCTCACTCTCCCTTCCCGCGCTAGCCTAAGGGCCACGTTAGCACAGCGCTTCCTAAGCTGAATTGCTGTAAGACCTCACCCAAACCCACCACCTACGCCCATCACCTACACACGACACCCCCGGAGGTTTACTGAAACAAGCCCGAAAAGAAATAAGAGCGCCAGAAAAAAGGGGCCTTGCCGGCGGGGCCCAGTCAGGACAGGAGGAGGCCTCAAGAACTGATCAAACTCGTCCGTGTTTGCGGTCCCGGATGACGAGGAAAAGGCCTACCTCTCCGGGTTTACAGCGATGAAGTGGCTAAAGAACGATAATCCTACTCAACCTCGGTCCATCCGAGGTCATATATCCAGCCAAGGATATTGGCGCGACCCGTCGAATAGAAGGTCCCCATATCACAAAGGCATAAACGATGGAGGTTACATATCATATGAGATAAAGGTTTTGCCATTTTTTTCTCTCGTATTTTATTTTTATTTTTTGAATGAAGTAAACCCATTCGCCTCACGTACCTTTATTTCATTTGTCCTTAACCTCCACTGCAACCTTACCATCAGTATTGAATTAAAAAAATAATAAAGATAAAAGATATAATCGTGTATAAAAAAATCACAAACAAAAGTAAACTGTCTAGTACTATTATATAGGATAAATACCGAAATTGTCTAGGAAATTGCAAAACTTAAAGGTATAAACACACTGTTGAGAAGACCCCGCAACAGATAAATATAGAAACTTATTAATAATGCATAAAGTGTTATACAGGCTGTCTTATAAAAAACGCCCCAAGCTGTAACTGTTAATAATTGTTCTATTTAAAAAAACAAAGGACTGTTGTTAATGGCTTGACAAAATACTAAAATCGAGCACTGATTTTAATGTTTTTTGCCATCATCAGAACGTTAGGCGATTTTCAATTGTTTTTTCTTAAATGTCAAGTTATTATTATTTTTTTGGCCTGTTCGATAGAGTATTTTTTTCTGCAGTCAACGATATATTACAACTTGATATTTGTTAAATATTTTATAGAAAAAATATTTTTTTACAAAATTTATTAGAAAAATGTTATGTCTAATTCACGGCAACTTCTGATAAAAATGTCAAATTTGCCCTGAAAACAATTAAATTCAGAAGCATTAAATGTCACATACGCGTCATTTTCTAGGCAAAATACGTATCAGTGTATTGTCAAGTGGTTATTAATTAATTAATTAATTAATTACAAATAAATTATTGTAACTTGAAAATATGAACATTAATGAACTGACCGATATGTTGCAAATATACTTTCAATGTAATAAAAATAGTGCCCAAGCAGAACGTCTGTATGCAAATCGGTTTCCAAACAGGGATGTTCCACAGCGACGAAAATTTAAAAGACTTGAAGACAATTTCAGAATGTATGGTGCTTTTAAAAAGCCTAAAAATTCGCAACGCATTTTTAATGGTCCTCTAGAATTAGACGTTTTGCTTAGTATTGAGGAAAATCCACAAGCTTCTACTCGAGAAATTGCAAGTAATAATAATTTTTCAAAAAACACGGTACACAAAAATCTTAAAAAAACACAAATTTAAATCATACATACCACAGAAAGTGCAAGTGTTAGAAGATAACGATCGTGTCCGAAGGGAGCAATTTTGCCATTTTTATTTACTTAAATATGATACAAGACGCAAGATTTTGAAGAAAAATTATATGGTCAGATGAGTGTACCTTTAGTAATAATGGCATTTTTAACAGAAATATCCATCGATATTGGAGTCAAGAAAATCCCAGAATAACTGTTGAAACCAATTACCAACGGAGATTCAGTGTCAATGTTTGGTGCGGTATTCTAGGCAATCAATTAATTGGACCATTTTTCATCGATGGAACTCTAACTCAAGACAAATATCATAGACTTTTATCAGAATATCTTTCACTTATTGGATACCTTACCGCTTGCAGAAGTGTATAGGATTTATTGTCAACAAGATGGTGCTCCCCCGCATAATGCTAGAAGAAACACTAATTGGTGAGATGCTAATTTTGATGAAAGATGGATTGGCATGACTGGTCCTGTTCGATGGCCCGCCCGTTGTCCTGACCTCACCCCCGCTGATATTTGGTTTTGGGAATATCTTAAAGATCAAATATTTTTGACACATCTGGAAAATGTAGATATTTTAAGAGAGAGGATTATAAACGTTTGCCGTGAAATACCTCCAAACTTAATATCAAATGCTACGTACGAGGTAGCCAGAAGATGTCAATTATGTATTCAACAAGATGGAAGACAGTTCGAACAATTTTTATAAGGTTTTTTATTGTTACATTTTTGTTTTGTTGTTGATCTGGTATTCATTTGTTTTGCTTTGTTGTTGTTACTTTAGACATGGCATTTCTCTAATAAATTTTATAAAAAAATATTTTTTCCATAAAATATTTAACAAATATCAAGTTGTAATGTATCGTTGACTGCAGAAAAAAATACTCTATCGAACAGGCCAAAAAAAATTATAACTTGACATTTAAGAAAAAACAATTGAAAATCGCCTAACGTTCTGATGATGGCAAAAAGAATTAAAATCAGTGCTCGATTGTAGTATTTGTCAAGTCATTAACAACAGTCTTCTGTTTTTTTTTTAATAGAACAATTATTAACAGTGTTACAGCTTGGGGCGTTTTTTATAAGACAGCCTGTATAAGCTCATTTACATCTAAAACTTTAAAAATTCAGTTATCTGGAAAAAACTCGATGATTTTAAGATGTGGTTAAATTTAAGTTACTTCATACATTTCCGCCCACAGGTTAATATCTGTTATTTTTAGGCTTACGAAATGGATATGTATGGAGAATACGTGTGGATTTTGCAGAATAGAGAACAAATGTGGTGGAACTACACAAACGAATGTTCGGCTTACAAAATGCGGAAAGCTGTTGAAGGAATAATAATGATATCAGATTTTAGCAGCATCTCCGAGGACGAGTATTCGATATCGGGATTGGTAATATATCAATTTAACTAAGATTGATCCATGACATTTATTGAGTTCTTAGATGTGATTAATCTGTAAAAAGTCATAATACTGTGAAGTTACTAATGATTACGGATTATTAAATCAATATTAAACACGATTATTAATGGCATAACTTTTTTCTTTTTCCTTCTGCAAAATTTGTCAGAAAGGTATTGGTCTAATGTAAATCACATTAACTAACTTAAATAATGTTATGTTAACATATACGAGGGTAAATCAAATATAAACGCGATTTTATTTAAAAAAAAAGCGGCCCAAACAAATGAAAATCGCAGGTCCTTACTGAAGGGAGGATAATCTAGTTGAGCTCAGTACGTTTCTTCTAATTTTGAGACCGTTAGAGCTGCAGCATGGGGCTTGGCATTGTCGTGTTGGAGGATGGCCTCTGGAATCGGTCTCGTCTTTTGCGGCGATATGCAGCAGTCACCTCATTCAACAGTTCGCAGTAGTAAGCAGCATTGATTGTGCGTCGCTCATGCAAAAAATCAGTGAGCAAAATGCCTCGCCGGCTGAAAAAAAACGGTGAAAGAACCTTGCCAGCTGACAGACGAGTTTTGGCTATCACTAGGGCTGCCCCCTATTTTCTTCACCACTCCATCCTGGCTTGTTTCGATTCGGGAGTGTAGTGGTGGACATACGTTTCGTCGTAGGTGACGATCAGATCTAAAAATGCATCACCTTCTTTCGTAAAACTTGCTGTAAGCCTCTGTCAGACCTTCAAACGTATCAACTTCCGATATATGGTCAAATGGGGAGGAATCCATCCGGCACACATTTTACGGACCAGTAGATCGTTTGTGATGATCGCTTAACACCTCTCATAACTTATTCCAGCCTGTTTTACAATTTTCGATACTCGCACCCGTTGACCGCAAAATTAATGTTTGGTCCTTCACGAGCAAGAAATTTGATAATTATGCGTTGCACATTGTACCTGTTGCTCCAACATCGTGAGCGTTACTGAAGAATTGGTTGAGAATGTGGAATGACCGGCTCTCCTCACTCCTAATGACCCCATCCAAGCATACAAGAAGCGCGAGCACAGTCCTATCAACCTTGGACGCATAGGAACGAAAATCCTGTTTATATTTGATTTACCCTCATACATACATTCCTTGATACCCACCCAATATCTGGATATGCCAGAGAAACAAACTAGTACTTAAATCAAATTTGGTCCGCAATGTAAAGCGGACACTACGTTACAAATTAACAAAAAAGTTTCTATAAACAGTTGGTTTTCGAAAGATATGGTTCAACGATAATGAAAATACCTGATCTATTTTAAGTTGAGTGTATAGTATTTTATTCATGAATAACGTGATTGTTTGAGTTATTATTATCGTTATTTCAAAAATGCCTTTGATACTAGACGCTTTTAGCAATATTCATTTATCTCGAAAACGGAAGATCGAAAGAGATATTTTTGTATAGACTTTATTGTTCTGTAATATTATTTCCAATTCGGAATATTTTGGAAAAAAAAGTGGTAAACGAAAATTAAAGTCCATCCCCCAAACTAAGTAAGTCCTTGTATATATAAAAATGTGGTTTGTAGATACATTTGTGAATGTTCAAAAAGTAAATCTGAAAACGATATTGAAACGAAATTACTTCATCCGTTTTCTTGTAACTCAAAAAAATGATGAAATTTTTCGAAATCTTAAACACACTGTATCTCGAAAACCTTGAAGGTTTGAAATTTTAGTTAATGATTTCAACAACAATTTTTGTTTGCAAATAATTATTTATTAGTATGTCTAAAATTTTTTTAATTGGCATACCTGTAAGAATTCGACATTTGGTATACAAAAACTGCTTTTTGACATGATGAGAAACGCTTGAACAGTTAGTTTTTTCATTTAATCGAGCTAAATTTTACTGTGTGTTATCCTATGGGCAAGTTATTTAAGAGTTTCGATGTTCGCTTCTCAAAAATTGCAAAAATAAATTCAAATTGGGTTATGTAGTGCATTTTGAATTTAAGTCTTGTCATTTTGTACAAAGAAACCATTAGAAATGAAATCTGGTGATCCTTTTTTTTTAATTAAAGAAATTTATTATTCACACAATTTCGTTCTTTCTTCAAAATGTCTCTATAACTATTAGCCTAAATTTTCTCTAATACGTATTTCAACTTTTTTTTTTATATAAAACAATAATGGAAAAAGTGAGAGATAGTAATATACAGGGTAATTCACAACTTATCAAAAAAAAATTGGGAATAGATGCGGCATGAGAAATGGAGTCAATATCGTAAAAAAAATTTTATAAAGTCCTTATAGTTTCCGAGAAAAAAAATTAAGTTGTAGTACTTTCAACCATTACATAGCTGGACAACTGTAGTCTCTAGCGTCATTCGTAATACGCGTGGAGAGCCACGTGGCCTCAGCGACTCCGAATACTGATATCCGATTTTACAGTCGTCGTTGCCATAGTGTTTACAATAGTTTTTTAGTAGTTAATGTCAAAAATGTCTTGTGTGTATAGCAACTCGGAGTTGACGCATATCGTTTTAATTCATGGTGAAGCAAGAAAATATTTGTATTATGGTGAAGCATTTCTGTTATGGTGAAACAAACATTTGTGTTAGTTTGTAGAAACTAGAAACTGAATAAGACAGACTCAAAAGTGTGTACACGTCGGTGGACAAAATTTTGAACAGTTGTTGATCAGGTATGTCAAGTTATTTTTTATTATTTAAAACCTCAAATTAATTTTATTAAGTAATAATAACAATAGCGGCAAAATCAGTTGAATTTGCAATAGGTGCTATAAAATTCTATTTATTCCTTTCCTTGCGAAATTTTTTCAAGTTTTTGTCCGTTTTTATCACTACCGTCGTGACGGTCGCATTGTGCCAGGTCAGGTTTTACGGTGGCCTAGTTTTCAGTGCCGTGCAGAAGTGTATTTTTAAATTATTTTTGAACTGCCCTATTTGATATTTTCTTTACATAATTGTATTTGTAAGAGTTCCCTGTACATCCCGAATTTTGTTTTTCTGGATAAGTTCTGAATCACCCTGTATAACATAATTCTGGCGTTGCATTCGTTGATTATATATTTTTAGAATTTACTTAAATTGTGTTGATAACTTTAAACCAATTATATGGTACAATATAGGTGATTTTGAGAATCGCTGTTCACGTGTAAGATAATCAAATTACGTTCATACAAGCGAAATGCCTGTTTGTCAGGTCATGTGTCAAGAAAATAATTAGCATTAAGACTTCATTCATATAGTTTCATATTGTAGGTGAAATAGACATACCAACAGATAAATAATCACAGGACCACAAAAAAAAATCGACGAAAGGTCTCCTCTGCCAAACCTATCGTATTATATGTTTTTTGGGTCTGCAACTCATGTGTTCCCATCACGTCAGAGTTTTTTTCTGATTTCAAAAAATAGCTGAAAAATGGTAGAATTCAACAAAATCAACCCTGCAACCTGTTAAAACCTTATAACTATGATCCCGAACGAGCTTGACAAGCCGTAAAATGATAACTCGCAACCGCAAAAATACATAACCTCAAAATTGGATGAGCCCAAAACCCAAAAACCCAAAATAAGCAGTGAATAAACTTACACATAGGGCGCAAACCTTCATTTTTGAATAGTAAACTCTTTTAACCTAAAACCCCGAAACCCCATAACCTGAAAACTCGACAAGGCCTCAATCTGAAACCAAACCTCAAAACCCCGAAGCTGAATAACCCTAAAATCCCAAAACTTCAAAACCAGGGCCGGCATTAATAAGGGTGAGGGTGTCGATCACTTCGAGCGTCACACATGAGCAGCCAGACACACGCTTCGAACAAAGAAGCCACTGGCCGAAACTCATAAACTTATGTTCCCAAACCTACATACCCTAGATGAAGCTAAATCTCTAAAACCGAGTTCCCAAACCCACAAAGCCTGAGTGCAGTAAGACCTCTAAACCCGGGCTCCCAAACCCACATACCTTGGGCACAGCAAACTCTCAAACCCAAGCTCCTAAACCCTCATACCCTAGAAGCAGTAGGATCCACGTTAGTTGCGCAACAGGCAGGCAAACGGAACGAGTATGCTTTTACACTCAAGCTTCCGAATCCTCGTGGCAGCGAGATACACGTTCATCACACAGCAAGCAAAGCCAGCTTTCTTTCACACCCAAGCTCCCAAGCCCACATACTCTGGTCGGAGCAAGATCAATGTTTGTTACAAAGAGGATAAAGAAGCAAATGAAGCTTAGTATCAAACCTAACCTTGCAAACTCTAACACTCTCTTGTTTCACCTAGGGTATGAGGGTGTGGAAACTTGGTTTCATGAGTTCCGCCAAAGGCCTGTGTGATGGAAGCGTAGATCTTGCTGCGCCGAAGGTACGTTGTGCTCAGGGTATGTGGGTTTGGGATTTTGGGTTTAGGGACCCTACTGCTTAGGGTGCCCCTAGGGTATGTGGGTTCGGGTGCTTACGTTTCGGCCAGTGGCTTCTTTGTTCGAAATGTGTATCTCGCTGCTCATGCTCAAAGTGATCTCCACCCTCACACTTATTAATGCCGGCCCTGGGTTTGAAATTTTGCGGTTTTAGGGTTATTCAGTTTCGAGGTTTTGAGGTTTCAGATTGAGATCTTGTCGTGTTCTCAGGTTATGGGGTTTCGGGGTTTTAGGTTAAATGGGTTTACTATTCAAAAATGAAGGTTTGTGCCCTATGTGTAAGTTTATTTGCTGCTTATTTTGGGATTTTGGATTTTGGGCTCATCCAATTTTGGGGTTATGTATTTTTACGGTTTCGAGTTATAATTTTACGGCTTGTCGAGTTCGTTCGGGATCATAAGGATGTGGAGTTATAAGGTTTTAACAGGTTGCAGGGTTGATTTTGTTGAATTCTACCATTTTTCAGCTATTTTTTGAAGTTAGAAAAAACTCTGTCGTGATGGGAGCAAATGAGTTGCAGATTCAGTTTCAGCGACTCAAAAAACATATAATACGATAGGTTTGGCCGAGGAGACCTTACATCGATTTTTTTTTGTGGTCCTGTGTAATTGGCGGATAGGAACAGTAACAAGCAAAAAAACATTAATTTAAACAAAACATATTTATATAACAGGGTGTCCGGTAACTACGGGGAAAAATAAAGGGTTATATAGAGCAGGTCAAACGAGTGCTAGTACTTCATATAAACTTTTTACCTAGGTGCCATTGTTGAGGAGTTATTGTCACTCGAAGTAAGAAGTTGAAAAATGAATATTGCCCATAATTTCTAAAGGGTTACTTTGATTAACTTGAAATTTGGGGGATCAAAGCAATTCATTCAAATGTATCTTTGTACATTTAAAATTGAATCAAATATTTTTTATTTTACAAGGACGGTGGAAATTATGTTCTAAAATTTACGCAACTTTGACAGAGCTGTCAAATTTGATATTTCGCCCTCGCAGGCAGATAGCCCTGTTACTTTTCTACAAAAAAGGTATACTTCATGACTTATAAAAAAGTGAAAGGTTGTCAAGATAATTAAATTCTTGTATTTTGCGTATAGGTCCAACCGGGGACACAACGCAACAGAAAAAAGTTAAGAATGAAACATATGGATTAAAAGAGGTTACTTCAGTAAATGCTCGATATGTCCTCCATCTAGTTCAATGCACTTCGTTATTCTTTTAAGATTATTTTGTTCCACTCTAAATAGCATTTGTGGATTCCGTTTAATTTCATTATAATGATGTTCTATTCTTGCCATCAACTCTTCTCTTGTATAAATCGAAGTTGAATACACCAATTCTTTTAGGTAACTCCACAACTAGAAGTCAAGGGGGTTAAGATCTGGTGACCTAGGTGCCCATAAGTGTGGTCCGCCTCGCCCAATCCACCTATCACCAAATGTTGCGTTGAGGTAATTTCTAACTTCACGACTGAAGTGGGGCAGTGCCCCATCATGCATGAAATACATCTCCTGTCTTGTTTGCAATGGCACATTTAGTAGTAGATTTCGATCGTATTGTAAAAGATTCAAATATCGGGCACCGTTTAATCTATCCGATAAGAAAAAGGGGCCTATTAATTGGTTACCGATTATTCCTGCCCATACATTAACTATGAATCTTTCCTGGTGTTTGCCTTGAATAACTAAATGAGGTCACCAGATCTTAACCCCCTTGACTTCTTCTTGTGGGGTTACCTAAAAGAATTGGTGTATTCAACTCCGGTTTATACAAGAGAAGAGTTGATGGCAAGAATAGAACATCATTGTAATGAAATTAAACAGAATCCACAAATGTTATTTAGAGTGCAACAAAATAATCTCAAATGAATAAGGAAGTGCATTGAATATTTACTGAAGTAACCTCTTTTAATCCATATGTGGCTAGACGCAAAATACAAAAATTTAATTACCTTGACAACCTTTCATTTTTTCATAAGTCATGAGGTATACCTTTTTTGTAGAAAAATAACAGGGCTATATGCTTGCGAGGGCGAAATGTTAAATTTGACAGCTCTGTCAAAGTTGCGTAAATTTTAGAACATAAAGAACGACCGTCCTTGTATAATAAAAAATATTTGATTCAATTTTAAGTGTACAAAGATACATTTGAATGAGTTTCTTTGATTCCCCAAATTTCAAGTTAATCAAAGTAACCCTTCAGAAATTATGGGCAATATTCATTTTTCAACTTCTTACTTTGAGTGACAATAACTCCTCAACAATGGCACCTAGATAAAAAGTTTGTATGAAGAACTAGCACTTGTTTGACCTGCTCTATATAATCCTTTATTTTTTCCCCGTAGTTACCGGACACCCTGTATACACAAGGAAATACAGGGTGGTCCCGAGGTAATGGGCCAAAATTCATGGGTAGATTCCCGAAGCAAAAATATTGCGATTTAGCCGAACTTACCTTAGTCCAAAAGTTGATAATTAAAAAGATACATTTATTTCTTAATAAATGCAAATATCTACACAAAATTTTGAGGTTTGTGGTTCTTTGGATGGAGGAATTGAAATTTGTTCACATTTGAAGATTAGCCGTAGATTGAAGGTGTTGGAAACGACATAACTTTTTTTTACTTTAAGGTATCTCATATTTGGTATCAAATTTTTATTTTCCAACTTTTTTTACACAAAAAAGGTAGACTTTATGAAAGTAGCTGTCTCGCACCGTTTCCGAGATATTTGACTTTGCAACTTCCAATGCTAATAGTTGAAATAATTAAAATAATTTAGAAATGTCAAAAACTATGGTTTATTTAGAATTAAAAATTGCAATGAACAGTAAAATAGTAAACATTAGTAAAAAATATGCCTTTTTGACAAAATTGATCAAAATGAACATCTCTAACTTCAATACATTTATCAACACGTTTATTAAAAGATTGTCTTATTTTAAAGTATAAATCCTTAATACGAAATGATTTTGCAGCATTTAAAATCTGCTACCAAAGTTCTTCTCAAGTGTTTATAGTTTTCCCATAAACAACTAATTTCATGTAACTCCAAAAACGAAAGCCTCGGCATTCTATCTCACATTTATGTATACGAGTATACAATTTAATTTGTAAGCTAAGATGCAATTTTAATTAGATACGAATAATACTTAATAGAAATTAGCATACAAATGACAGCAATAAGACAAGTGAAAGACGTCAATTATTTGATTTTCGTCCAAATCCTACTTAAGAAACTTTACCGCTAAATTAATAATACCTGTAGGTACTTAATTGTAATTTAATGCAACAGCATTGGAAGTTTCAAAACCAAATAGCTCGAAAACGGTGCGAGATAGCTACTTTAATAAAGTATACCTTTTTTGTGTAAATAAAGTTGAAAAATAAGAATTTGTTACCAAAGATGAGATACCTTAAACTACAAAAAAGTTATGTCGTTTTTAACACATTCAATTTACTGCAGCTAGCGCCTTCTATGAACTTTAACCAAAATGTGACAGATTTCAATTCCTCTACTCAAAGAACTCCAATCCCCAAAATTTTGTGAGGATATCTGCATTTGTTAAGGAATAAATTAAAAAAAACTGAAATAATATTTTACATTTAACACCCTGTATCTCTTTAACTATCAACTTTTAGACTAAGGTAAGTTCGGCTAAATCGCAACATTTTTACTTGGGGAATCTACCCATCAATTTTGGCCCATTACCTCTGGACCACCCTGTATATACTTGATGCCCATATACCATAATCCTGAAATAAGTACAACCTCTTCCATAAAGGAAACATTTATTTAAGTAAAGAAATTTAATTTACTACAAATTTGTGGTATAAGAGTTCTTGTTTTAAAAAATCTTCCATACTTATTTTAAATTTGACGTTTCTGTATATAATTTTTTCGCAGAAAAATATTAAATACATGTTCTACGCAGTAAACTATATTGCTGTTTAAAATATACGCACACATAAGAGGAAAAAAAGTGTATAAGAAGTTAGAAAATGCGTTCTATTATATAATTAATAACCTTAATCGTTCAAACCCACCGTTCAATTTAATATAACAAGAGTAATTAATCACCAGCAGACAAAAGAAGCTATCTATGCTGACCACATATCAGTTTGGTATTTCACCTGCTATTAATATATTCCTCCCGTTTTTCATACAAAATGTTAAGCTCATGACGTGAAATTTTACAGCAAAATCTGAATTAAGTCAAAGGGGGTGAAATGTTTTGAAACAACAGACCACAGGGGAGAACGAATAAAGGCACATAATTAACATTTCGAAAAAAAATTCAGGTCTGCCTGTTTTATATGTTACGTAGATCAGAAATGATTTTTGAAATTAGTTAGGTTAGTTAGGTCATTCGTACACAGAAAAACGTAACCTGACCTAACTCAAAAGGAAAGCCTCATACCAAGAGCCTTGGAGCAAAATGGATTGGCTGCCTCAATATATACTATTTAAAATGGCAATATATTGTGTATTTGAATACAAGTTGAATTTTTGAACTAGATTCTATTTTTTCATAAAATGTAAAATAAGAAAGGTTATTCCACATCTTTGAATGATTCTTTTACTTATTTAATTTAATTTTTAGGTCAATGATGATTTCGAGGAAGCCTTAAATACGTCAAGGTCATATATATCCAGGTATGCCAAGCAAACCTACGATGCCATATGGACGATAGCTCTGGCCCTGAGAGATTCAGAGATACACCACTGGTTCGATCCAATAACTGAATACCAATACACCCGAAAAGACATGGCGTGTCGATGGGTGGATAGAATAAATAAACTCAGTTTCATTGGACTCTCTGTAAGTGTAATTCATAATTTAATGAAAAGAAACATTACAACATATTAAATATGCAGATTGTCTTATTTAACACAGTAACATCCACACAGAGTGTCCCACCACGAACTCCATCGATGGATATCTTGGAAACCGCTCGAAGGATTTTTTTGAAATTAGGATGGTGTGATACGGACCATGGGACCTACCAAGCTAAAATATTTTCTAGGTAGTATCGACTTCCAGTTATACCGGTTATACCGGAAGTCGATACTAACTTTCTTATTTTAAATGGAACCCCCTGTATATTATTGCATTTTTGGAAAGAGCATCTATTTTTCAGTTGAAAACATATAGCACACTCCATACATAGGATTGACCGTTTCCGAGATATTTTTATTTTTAAGTAAAAATTGACAGATCCAGACTGTCAGCGAAATTTAGTTTTCCCGGGAACATTGGTTTATTTTTTGTGCAAATTGGACATTTTGTAGAGAAAGACCTAATTTATCGAATTTGATATGAAAATTTTCCAGTTTTTATACAGAGTGGTCAAAAAAAAGATCGAATATGAAGTTCAGAAAATGTGGAAAACTCGAAATTTTTAAATGGAAACCACTAATTTTTTTAACGTATTTGCATTCTGCACTAAAATTATGTGTAACTTTGTTAAAGTTTCCCTATACCTAAACCCAGTGGTTTTCATTTTATTTACGAATAAACATTTTCCTTTTCTTAAAATGATGTTTCCATTTGTTTCGCACATTTTAGGTTGGCCGTGACAGGTAAGTAACAATCAACATGACAATTGTCACAGGTTTTTAAATGTTTAATTTATTTTAATAAATCTACAAAATCTTCCTTCAATTTCTCAACTTCTAAACATTTTTCACACCTTCGGATTAGTTCCTTGTGGGTCGCTGCTGTAATAGAATCTGGTGATAGATGCTCAAACGCTTGCCTTATTCTATGCATACAATTTTCCTTTGTTGTTACTGGACTCCTATACACACTATTTGTTAGTGTCCCAAATAAAATAGTATCTATCACCGGATTCTATTAAAGCAGCGACCCACAAGGAACTAAATAAATTTGACAATTAAAAATCTGTGACAGTTGTCATGTTGATTGTTACCTATCTGTCACGGTTAACCTAAAATACGGGAAACAAATGGAAACATCAAATGAAAACCACTGGGTTTGGGTATAGGGAAACTTTAACAAAGTTACACTTAATTTTAGTGCATAATGTGAGTATGTTAAAAAGGTTTTTTTTATATCAAATTCGATAAATTAGGTCTTCCTCTACAAAATGTCCAATTTGCAGAAAAAAATAAACCTATGTCCGGGAAAACTAAATTTTGCTGACAGTTTGCATCTGTCAATTTTTGCTTAAAAATCAAAATATCTCGGAAACGGTCAATTCTAAGTATGGAGTGTATGTTTTCACGTATACCACTTATTTGCAATTTGCCAACTTAGCGTCATTTTTTTCGAGTGACTTTTTTGATATTATTATTCTACATACGCTACACACACTTCACCTTCATAAGTCGGTCGATAGCCGCACGGTTTAAGGCGTCAGTACTTAAATCGATGTGTCGATCTGCCCGGGTTTCGAATCCCGCGGCCGGTAGACCGTAGATTTGCTATGCTTGTACGGAGGATTGGCACCCTCTGTTCAGGTATGGTAGGGTGGAAGAATGTTGGCTTGGGTCAATGTGAGAGATTGACACCAGTTGGCATTTGGCCACCCCCCTAATTAATGAGGTTTTCCAGGTTTCCCTCATTCCTGCACTGAATGGTGGTTAGGGCCTACCAACATAAGTCGTTCCTGGGCGCAAATGCGGCCTGCGTAATAATAATATGCCGCCTCCTCTCCCGCACAAGTCTCCGACTTCTGGGCTAATTCTCGTAGTTAGAATGAGGAGTAGAGATATTATTATTATTATTATAAAGTGCAATAAAATGTCTACTAATTAATTATTTTTTGTCACGTTCAAACTCTAATTCGACTGGAGTAATACAAAGATAGAGAATTCTATTTGATTTAGTATACAGGGTGTTCAAAAAGTTTGGAATCCCCCCTCTATCTCCGAAAATACTGCTCAAACAAAAAAAATATTAGGACAAAAGTTGATGGGTTTTGAGTGAGTAATCCAACGGTGACCTTGACCATGACATTGACCGCGACCTTGAAAGTCATTTAGAGGTCAAGTTGAAAATTTTAAATGAAACCGTATACTTTTGACCCCAGAAATGGTAAGAGCGGAAAAATGTACGGTCGAATGTGACCTTGACCATGACCTTGAAGGTCATTTAGAGGTCAACCTGAAAATTTTAAATGGAACCGTATATTTTTGACCCCGGATGGTCACAGTATTTCCAGCAGCCTGTCTCCGAAGGTTCTCATCAGTGGAAAATTTACCGAGACGTTGGGGTTAAAAGTGAGCAGTCAAACAGTGACCTTGACTGTAACTTGGAGATCGTTTACAGGTCAATTTGAAAACTTTTTGAATCCAATTTTTAGTCCAATATATTAGATCCGTTCCTGAGTCAAAAATATACGGTTCCATTTAAAATTTTCAGGTTGACTTCTAAATAACCTTGAAGGTCATGGTCAAGCTCATGATCAAGGTCATATCCGAACATAAAATTTTCCGCTCTTACCATTTCCAGGGTCAAAAGTATACGGTTCCATTTAAAATTTTCAACTTGACCTCTAAATGACCTTCAAGGTCATGGTCAAGGTCACCGTTGGATTGCTCACACAAAACCCTGCAACTTTTGTCATAATCATTTTTTTTTGTTTAAGCAGTATTTTCTGAGATCGAGGGGGTTCCAAATTTTTTGAACACCCTGTATAATTAAATAGGTATGTAGTATACTATGTATTTACAATGTCTTTCAGTACTTATTTAATTTTATTCAAAAATTGACCATATTAATTAATATATTATAGGAAAACCTAAAAACATATTATGATTAGTCATCAATTTGTACTGCTAATTTATTAAATAACCTGACTCATTAAGTAAATCACAGCTTTTTGTAGGGTCCAGTGAAGTTTCAAGGCGCTGACAGGATTGGAAATTCACTAATTCAACAAATACAGGGTAGCTAAATTTATTCAATCTGTCCTTTTTTATAGTAGGTACCAAGTAGGGGAATCATAGTGAAGAAGAATTATATAATTTAATTTCAATGTTACCCACTACTAACGATGATATTCTTTTTTTTCGTTTAGTAGAAGTATTTTGATATTAGTGCTCATAAAGGCTGCATGTTAAGGCATTGATAGCTTATTATAAAGGTGTTTCAGAATAAGGTCTAAAAAATTTTAGAGGAATTTTTCATACGATTTTCTTATGCCATGTTTAAATCCATATAAAAAATGTATTCTTGCCTCAATTTTCTTTCCACTTCACTTATAAGAAAACATGGAGGTGACTGTCTTAGCTATAATTCAAGTTTTGTTTTGCTCATGTGACATTTGTTTACTTTTTGTAGACTACTCGTAAAAGAATAATATTATCTATTAAAATAATGGTAAACACTGAAAAATTCAGAAATTTTTATTATTTAATGAGCCTAAAATGTATACAAAACAGAAATTAGTTTTAAAAAATTGTTATTTGCCAATAAACAAAGGATCAAGGAGTTGCAGCAGATGTTCGAAATGATTACATCTCCAATTTGGGATTTTAGCTTTTGCGAATTTTGACAAGAGTCCGCCAGAATTCTTACCTCATAAACGTCGTAAAAATATCGGGTTTGCAATATGTCTAATACAGGCACTGTAATCGTATTTAAAAAATCATCCCACCAAACTATTTAGGGACTCTCAAAATATATGCCTTCCAAATTTAAATTCGATATTTTGCTTAGTTTGGAGACATTGGCAAAATAAATTTTAAACATTGGATGTTAAAAAAATAAAATACTTAGTTTATAAGAAAATACATTCTTATTTTTTGTTCTATTGCTATTAGGATTTATCCTGAAATACCCTGCATAAATTAAGAAGATAACATTTATATATAATAATTTCAGAATGAAGTATGTCTTTACCATCTATGACGAGAGAAGTACCCTGATATTCTTTCTTAATTTATTGTTTTCTATTTGTACATGGTAATCCAGAACTGATGATTGACCGTCGTTAAAGGAAAACAGAAAGAGCGAATAGAAAATGGCATTACGGGTCTTTGTGGTTTTTGGGTTCTTTGCCAACTGTGAAAAAATTAAAAAAATTAATTAAATAAACCCTTGCACCAAATGGATCGGTGCGGGGTAATTTTTATGAAAATAGTTTTGCCTAACCGAAAAAATCTCACTATGAAAAAAGCAGACAAATGGAAAATACAAAAACACATCACTTAATATCGCGCACTTTAAAAAGTTTTCGAAAATCCACTGTTTTCGTCTTCTAAACTTTTTTTGACTTTTCGTTTTAATAGCTTTTACAGTTTTTTAAATTTTAATAGCTTTGACAGTTTAGCTAAAAAAATAAAGAAAAACTTCAGACAATACGTTAGTAGTATTTCTAGCGATGAAGATAGAAACATGAAATTATTTTGAATCAACTATTTCTAGCCATATTTGTGAACAGAATTCTTACCTCAAACTTGCAGCGTTATACAGGGTGTTCCTTATTGATCTGCGAATATTTATGGGTGTGATTGTACATAGAAAATGAATGATAGTTTGCTTTATAAACTGTGGTTCAAAAATGTTCCGTTGCGAATGCACGGGGTCTTAAAATTTTTGGAAAAAGAAGGAAATTAATTAATATTTTCGAAACCGCTTGAGACATTTCAGTGATATTTAGTACATAGTGATAAAGGCGAATATTTTTCAATACAAACGTAATTTTTAACTCTAATAGGGGCGTGCGTACAAGCACTGGCTTTGATATATTTAAAGAAGAAAATGATACGTCATTGGTTTTCCTCAAATAAAATTATTTTTGAAATCCCCCTTCTATTCGAAAGATAAAAGATCTCTTGAGTTTTTGCCCTGCGAAGCTTCGTTTTTGAGAAAAAAAACTTACAGAATTATTAATAATTCTTGCGTGTAATGAACAACAATTAACAACATACAACATTAACATAACATTACATCTAGGTAATATCAAACTATTTTTACAAAAATCGTTGAAAATGACCTCCTTCACTTAATATACATGCTTCCTCCCTCCTTTTCATGGAATTGCGCACTCGCTAAAATATTCCCAGACTATTCTTTATTCTATCACATTATTCTTTTTCTTAATTCCTCTACAGAATTAATGAGACTGGTGTACTATTGAGGTCGAGGGACCTTGGTGGTCATTCTTGAGGATTAACGCGGCCAATCCAACGATTTGGATAAACAGTTTGTAAATAATTGCGAACCATTACAGTGAAATGTGCTGGTGCACCGTCGTGCATGTATCACATTTGGTTTCTTATTGCTATCGGAACATCCTCAAACAGCAAAGGAAATTGTTCTTGAAGGAAATTGCGGTAAGATTGTCCGTCAAGTCGTCCCGGCAGGAAGAATGGTCCAATAAAGTGGTCACCAATGATTCCTGTGCATACGTTGACCGAAAACTGGTGTAGAAAATGGCTTTCCGTTATGGCATGTGGGTTTTCAATTGCTCACAAATGATTGTTGTGAAAATTTTCAAATGCATTTTTAGAAAATTAGCTTCGTTCGTGAACAGAATGTATGATTCAAATTGCGGATTTTGCTCAACATTGTGAGGATACTGACAGAAGGTCACATGCTTTGGAAAATCTCTAGCAAGTAATGCCCGTACTCTTAAAATTTGGTACGGTTATAACAAAAAATCGACTAAAATTCTCCAAACAATTTAGTGGCAAATATTGAAATATCTAGCGATCTTCCTCGTACTCGTTATAGGATGTTCGACTTCGTGCAGCACCGCTTTCTCAATTTCAGGTGTTCTTACTTTTCGAGGTCTACCTTCAGATGTACGTTTTCGGACACTACCAGTTTCAACAAGACGTTGATGAATATTAGAAAAGGTTCGACTATTTGGCAACGCACGATTGGGATATCTCTAGTGATAAATACGTCTGGTTTGCTCTGCATTATCCTCGGCGAGGCCATACACGTAATGCATTTGCACCATTTCAACATTTGAATAATTCACTATTATTAACAAAATTATAAAAATAAGATATTCACAGTGAACATAATTTGAACGACAGATAGGTACTTACTTCAAAATGTCAGAAATCCAAGTGACACATTCTAGGCCAACTAGGTTTCGTTTATTGCAAATTTGTATTCTTTAATAATTACATTTTACGGACAATACAACGGTTCTTATTTTTTTACTCAAAAACGGCGCATCGCAGGACAAAAACTCAAGAGAGCTCTTATCTTTCGAATTGAAAGCGGATTTCAAAAATAATTTTATTTGGGAAAAAAACCATTGGCGTACCATTTTTTTCTTTAAAGATATCAAAGTCACTTCTCGTACGCACGCCACTGTTAGAGCTAAAAATTATGTTTGTATTGAAAACATGCGCCTTTATTAATTATAACTACGTACTAAATATTACTGAAATGTCTCAAGCGATTTCGAAAATATTAATTAATTTCCTTCTTTTTCTTAAAATTTTAACACCCCTTATTTTCGCAACGGAACATTTTTAGACCATTGTTTATAAAACTATCATTAATTTTCAATGTATATTTCGAATAAGGAGAGATTTAGCAAAACGTTTTTAATAAAATTGTTAAAAAATACATAATTATAAAACTGGAGGAAACAACTTTGATGACGTTGCTGTCCTTAGGGTGATAAACTTACCAAGATATATTTTGAGTAAAATACTTGTATCATTTTACCATAATACTCACCATCAGCTCTGGATGACCCTACACCATTTATTAGATTTAAAGTTATTTAGCCGTCTGCAGTAAGCAATTGGCACTATGAAACTTTTAAGACCGATACAACTTTAGAAATTGAACCTAACCAGTTTTGCCTGTAACTTTACATGAATGTAAATCTGTTACAAGATTTTGGAATTCATAGTAATTAGGACCACAACAGAAGATATATGTAGTTAAAGTTGACAACACATTTGAACTATAAATGCTCCCTAGTTCCTTTTAAGTTAATTTAAGAAATATAAAATAACCTTCATGATATGTCTTTTCTTCTGTATAAAAGTGCCAGTAATAAATTAAATACAATTTGTAACGTGTAACTCCCAAGTTGAAAATTTAATATTTTAGAGGTATTCTATCTTGTAAGAAGAAATGTATAGTTTCGAACATTACTATGTACTCAAACAAACTGTTGAATAGAACAAAAGTGGAAGCAGAAATGTCAATTAAAGGTGTTATAACAGTAATGAAAATATTGCCTGAAATTCGAAATAAACCCTTGTTCCAAAAGGATCGCTCGAGGATTGTTTTTTAATTAAAATTATAATAACCAAAAATCTCACACTGAAAAAGGCAGACAAATAGAAAATACAAAATCACGTCACAATAAATCACACACTTCAATAGGTGACGTTTCGAAATGAATTTCTAACTGTGGAAGCAAACAAATAAACAAATTTAAACTCTCAAAAATTAATTTAAAATCAATATCATTCCAAGTTCTGACAACAAAAACAGATCAATTTTAAATAAGAGGGATATGAGGGTGGCTCCATGAAAAGCGAAACACAGTGTAGCCAGTAAGCCTTGAAAAAAACAAAACTTATTTTTACTTTTCGTATAACTGTTCTTATGTTTTCAATACTAAAAAGGATACTTTTTAAGATTCCTTGAAGAAAATGCGACAAACAAAATATTTGTTTCATTTTTTAATGGGGAATCTTCCTAGCTACCTAGGAATATCTTTTTTAAACACCTTATGAATATATTTCAGAATAAAATTTGTGAAAATAAAATATATTATGCCCTTGAGAATTACCCATGTAAGTAGATTAGATATTCTACTGAAATTTGTCTATTGAAGCACTTGATAGATTCTACTTATTATTTTATATCTTCCAAGGTTTTATGACGTGATAAAAATAAAGCATGCAAAACGATACCGCCCTTAATTAATGATGTGGGTGTAAAATTGAGGTTCACAGTAATATTTCATTTTTTAATGGTAGCGGAAACGTTACTGCTGTTCATAAATTTTTGAAATATGATTATTATTAAAGTTATTGTAGCCAAAGGCAATGAATGTATGCATATGTATTTTTGTTTTCTATAAAATCAATTATAGGAATTATGTCATAACTTTTAGCCACTGAATAAAAGGAACATGATTTCAATATCTTGTAAAATTTTATATAAAAGTACATTAGAATTGCCTTGTGAAAAAAATAATGGGCTAGTCGAATACGATACTTGTTTTGAATAAAGGTACAACATGATTATGTGATATTGGAAATATTGATATATGTGTTTTAATATACGAGTATAATACCAATTTAGAAAAATTACGTAAACTTTTTTTTTCAATTTAAATTGAATATTGAATTCCTTATAGTTCACTCTAACGAGAATAAATGCAAATAAATGCACTTCAACTTCCTGCAAGTTAATCCATTCAAACTTTCTATTTTCGCTTTCTGTTTCAGATGGAGCGACAGTTAACGTAGCCCTCTTTGACTCCATCAATAACGTTCTCGACTTCAACTGCAAGACATGTCGCAGCATCCGGTGGCAGAACGATAGACTCCCTGTAGCTCAAAGGATCCTGAAAATCTCCCTTATAAAAATACCCGCCGTGCTGTTCTATTGCATTGTCCTAATATCTACAGTAGGCATAGGCGCTTCCTTTCTCTTTCTGTACTTCAACCTCCACTTCAGGCGAATGAAATCCGTCAAACTTTCCAGCCCTAAGCTGAACAATGTCGCCGTATTCGGTTGCATTTTGGTTTATTCATCTGTGATACTATTGGGAATCCATAACAGTGCTATAAAATCGGAGAGCTACTTCAGCGAGTTGTGTTCGGTGAGTGGTTCAATTTAATTGAAATTGGCAGATAGGATGATATAAAATCCAAATTTTCAAATAAAAGCATTAATCACAGATGTAGAACTTTCGTATTGTTATATTTAGCAAATATTTATTTGATAAAATATAAAACCATTATTAGTTCTTGTAAATTTACAGTTTTTTTTTAATTTTGCAATTACACAGGCAGAGAAGTCCAAAGACTTGACCTATATATCCTTATGTATTTTTGCTAAAGCTGAATCTAGGACCAAAATTGCTTCATCACCCTCCATTTTTTTTAATCCTGAAAAACCGCCCTTAAATACAGAAAATACGGAAAATTGGTAAGGATCAGCATTAAGTATAATTGTAGAAACCCACTGAAAATAAACCGACCGTTTACTCTAGGGTTAAACGTGGCTTAGAATTCGGTTACTAATTCTAAGGAAAAATAAAAAATGTACCAAATTATTTAAGACAGGAAAATAGAGCACTGGAACTGCGACGTGAGTTCAATCTACTAGTCATGTATGAAGAAACTAATACAGGGTGGTCCAGATTTTAATAGACAAACTTCGGGAAGTACTAAACAACAAAAATTAACATCACTTTGCTCTATGAACATATACGCAGAAAGCCACCGTTTATTAGATACAGGGCGTTGAAATTATCAAAAATAAAACAATTTTTTTAAACATCTGGAAAACCACTTCATCAAATTTATCTAAATTTAGTATACATTTTTTCTCAAATATTTCTTCTACTTCTTTATGTACACAGTTCAAACTCAAAAACCAGTGGCGGAGAAACAAGTATATCGTTTCCTTATTTAAAATAAAACGTCTACGCCACTGAATTAATTGGTAATATGAATCCATTTTATAACGGTCTGAAACATTCCGGATCAAAAAACAGTCTTTTATTTTTGTCGAAAACTAATTAGTTTACGAGTTATGAGACATATTATCCAAGTAAACAAAACGTTGAAATAGGAAAAAATAAAACGAATTTGGGTGATCCAGATTTTAATTTTAAGACAAACTTCGGGAAAGTACTAAACAACAAAAATTAATATCACGTTGCTCTATCAACATAGGCGCAGAAAGCCACCGTTTTTGAGATACAGGGCGTTGAAATGATCAAAAATAAAACAATTTATTTTAAATATCTGGAAAACCGCTTCATCAAATTTATCCGAATTTGAAACATATTTTTCACTATCATAGTAAACATGTCTAGCTCAACTTTCAAGTAACACGTAAAGTTATATGAAAAACAAATAAATTAAATCAATTGCTCGAAGTGTCCATCTCCAAACTCAGTGCACTTTTGGCATCTTTTGGTTATAGAACTCACAGCAGCTCTGATTAAAACTGGATTTTGATTCAAATTAGTGAAGGCCTCATTTAGCCTTTGCACTAGCTGGTCTCTATTTGCAATAGGAACGGCATAAACGTCATTTTTCTAGGTTACCCTCAAATGATCTAAAATATTTAGATCAGGTGATCTAGGTGGCCAAGGTATGGGGCCATTCCGACCAATCCACCTGTTTTGGTAATTGTTTGTCATTTAAATGTCATAAAGAGAAATGATATAAACCGCACGTGACCACGTTTGGTCAACAAGCCAACAGTGCCTAATTATTTGACTGTGTAATTACCATCAAAATCTTATAATTAATATTTAATTATTTTTTTTTTAAATAAAATAGTATTATTATAATCTGGATTGAAATTTGTATATTGCACCAATAGATTATAAATTTATAAATTCTCACTAATTCCCTATCTAGCCTGCGATAACTTATTTCTAATATCTTATTTCTAATATCTCATATTACTTAGATCTACACTTTTATTGCCCTTCTCTGTCCACGGTTTCTTCAGTAGTAATTCTCCTTTCTGCAATCCATCTTCTGTATATCCTCCTTCCTTTTGTCCACTTGATCTCTCCTCTGTTGACTTGTTATGGCTCCTATGGCTTCCTTCCTTTCTTAACAGCTACGACAATTCAAATAGTATTTTACTAACCTAACTATTTTACCATTATATTTAGTTATCTGTCAAATTTTGACTTCAGCCTTATTTGTCTTTTTTCCAAACAAATTTTTCTTTCCCAATTTTTAATTCTCACTCCTCTTTCTTTGTCGTTTCCTGAACTACAATAATTTTGATCTTGTTTAACTTTTAATTGAATTCCTCTTCTCCTCAGAAATTGATTTCCGCTGATAGCTTGTATTGTTTCTTTTTTAGTCTTCTTTATTTCGCTTCTTCTTATTTAATCTTTTTGGTTCTGACTTTTATATTCAATCATTTCTCTTCTTATTTATTGAATCTCATTATTTTTTCCCGTCTTCTTGATAACCACCAATTTTTTAAATCACTGCACTCTTATCTCTAATTACAATTTTTTTAATTTATCCTTTTCAATTTCAAGCAATCAGATTATTACTTAATTTATACATTTCAAATTTAACATTTTCAATACTATTTTATCTTTCGTTTGCTAAATTCCATTATTTTATGGACACTTTTTATCAATTTAGACTGAGATTTCATCAAACTTTACATTTTATTATAAACTGTCACTTTTCATCTAACTGTCACGTAAATTATCATTACTATTTCGTTACCATCTTTCCAATATGTCATTACTTGATGTATTTTAAATTTGACTTCCATTATATCTTATAATAAAAACTGTTAAGTCAATTTCTACCTATTACAATATATTTTAAGTTATTCGGATTTTTTCCGAAATACTATAACATTGATCTTAATAAGGAGGAAGAAGAAAAAAAGATGTATATGTAAAGCTATAAACATAATTCTTCACTACAAAATTGGCTAAAATCTTGCTGGGTATAGTGCACTATAGAACAAAAGAGTAAAATGATGCTTAGTAGCTCAATATATGTTTAACGTCAGCCCTGTATATTTCTTGGGTTAGCAAAAGATATTATTACTAATTCGTTAAAATAATAGATAGTGCGTACCTTATCTGGTGACTGCAGACTGTAGATAGATTTCAAGAGCGGCTACTTCTCTGCGATGCAGTTGGTTGCATCACCACAAAGACCAGCAACAGGCTACAGAAACTAACGGGAAGATTGTTGGTTACGCCACGACAAGAACTAGCTGAAACCATCCAGAGAATACTAGGAATCTCTTTATCATGACCACAGGGAAAAGTTACAGTTTAACCAAATCATTTGGGCCTCGAGTGGAGGACGGCTTCCAGAGTGATTCAAAAAGAAGATGGGCTTGAATTTATGTGAAAATATTCAGTCAATGTTATACTATAACTCGCACAGGAAAGTTGCGCAAATTCAGTTAAAGCTTCATCGTTAAACGGCATAAAACCATCAACACAAAACTGATACATAATTACCTTGCACTTTTCTGTCTCAGTATATGGAACACAACCGTGTTAACAAAATGTAAAAAATTGCTTACATTTCCTCGACTACGAATCGCTGAGCACACACCCAGGAAATCCTTCTAGAAGATTGTGTCCTTCCCAAATCAGAATTAAAAAAAAGCTCGCGGGAATTTACAAAATTACGACAAAAAATCAAAACTAACAGTATTTCGAATTATGGTAAAGGTTCCGCAACTTAAAATGGTCTAATCGCTACAAAAATAGAAAATCGAAATTGACAGATATTCAAGTATTAGTGGCAGATGATGTCGCTTTCTGATCAGAGGTATGGTTTAAATATTTTAATAGTAACTTAGTGAAAATCTTTGAAAACTTATTTATAATAAGAGTTGCAAGTATTTCTTATAATTTATACAAAATGAATTTAAAAATATATTAAAATAAGTTTCTATTTTCTATATAGACAAGGCGAAATCGGCGGCTTCGTATGAAAAAATTAGTGGATTCGATTTTTTTGCATAATCACCTCCGTGAGATGTCTCTGAATGAGGATCAAAATGTTACCGGCCAGTAACCTGGTCACAATTTTTTTAAACTAATTTTTTTTTACACAAATTGCAAAAATAACTTTTTTTGCTCTAGGTATTTTGGTATTCTAAACAAAATAGTTCCTATGCACTATGCTCCTAAAATCAATGGTTTCCGAGTTACAAACAATTTAAAGTACGAAAAAATGCAAAAACGGTCATTTTCAAGACCCAAAAACAATAACAAAAAATCAAGTTTTTGGTGTTATTAAAATTTAAAAGTAATCTTTAAACATACCTTGACAAAATACGGAGGAGTTATTTGGTGTAATTGCATTGCGTATTATTTTACCTATTAACAATATACATTTTGACTTGCGCGCCGCGCCGTTCAGGCACTCCACTGTGCGCCGACCCCGTCAGTGCCTCACTTTTTCATATATCTCGACATATATTTCAAAGTAAATAAAAAATAAAAAGTAAAATGTCTTAAACTTATAAATATATTTATTTAAGCATAAAATTTTCACATTCGTCTGCATTACAACCACATAAAGTAACACAAGTAACATTATTTTTTCTACAACTACATGCTTTAGTTTTACATGTTTTCAAACATTTACATCAATCGATCAGGTATTATTTAACATAAATATGGGTAATACTGCACCATTTTCATCTAGTTTGTAACCGAAATTTTCGATATTCAACGTCTGGTATTTAGAGTATATTGAATTTTTCCAAATATACGTTTGCAATTATGCTCTTAATACGTGTAGTTTAAAGACATCAGAAGTACATGGAATATTTCCTAAGTTTATACCCATTCCACACGTTCGAGAAAAAATATTTAACCTATAGCGGCGCGGGAATTTCATTGCGATATTCGCAAATTCAAAATTAGATATTATTTAAGTAAAGTAGATATATTATTATTGTTATTATTATTATTGTTACTGTTTAGAAATTTATAATATCAATAAACAAAAAATAATTTTAATAAATAAAAATTCAGCATTGCTAAAATGTATCAAAAAGTGAGGTGATGAATATATACACGAGGTCGGCGCAGAGTGGAGTGCCCGAGCGGCGCGGCGCGCAAGTCAA